ACAGTTGCTGAAAACATTGGGTACAGGGATCTAGTGACAAACATTGGCATGGAGAGGGTTGAGCTTGCAGCCCCTATTGCAAATGCAGATGATTTTGTCAGAACACTTCCAGAAGGATACAGAAGCCATATTGGACCAAGGGGCTCACTTTTAAGTGGAGGTCAGAAGCAAAGGTAAAATTCACATGTACATCACTGTTTTAATTCTGAAATCTTTCCCCATCTATTCCTCTTTTTTCAGAGTGGAGTACTCCCATTTAATTGCTAGTAATTGAAAGAAAAGGATATCCAGCTTATTAATTTTATTTTATTTATTTTCTGCTCTCAAGAAAGTAGTAGTTAACTCAATACAGCAAGAAGTTAATTATTGACTTGTTATTTCATATACCTGAGATATTTCTCCTTGTTTAAATCACAAACCTGCCTGCTTGCTTACAAATGTAGACTAGTTATTGCAAGGGCAGTCTATTAGAATTCATCTATTCTGGTTTTGGATGAAGCAACTCCTCTGCTAGACAGTAGGTCGGAGTTATTGGTGAGGCAAGCTATTGAGCGTTTGATGGAAAATCATACAGTAAGAACAATAACTTAACTTACCAAGCCATAATTATATTTTGATATATAATTCTCCTCGAATCTGTAGCAAGACAAGTGGTGAATAACTATTGTGCCCAATATATTATTTTTAAGCATAACCACAAACACTAACTAAGTAGTATCTTTTTGGATTATATCCATGGGTTTGATTGGGATTGACTTCAAATGTATCCTCTAAGCATATTATAGAATGTAAGCCTGGGGTTTGGTTAGCTTGAGTAGGGTCTGTAGAGCTTCTTCAACTGCTACCAAGATAAGGCTGCTACAACCAGCGACCTCAACCATAATACTTGCTAGCAGTGATACATGAGCTTGAAATATTTTTGTTTATTCCAAGGGACGCTGCATTAGAATGTCATACAATTGGGTGAAGTATTTAGGTCTATATTGATGTGAATATATTCTCCCATGCCTCTTCTGGTACCTAAAATTTGAAATTAATCACATCCATAAGCAGGAAACTGCTCCATCTTGAAATACAGAAGGAATAAGTTGAGAATTATTTCTTACAGTTAAACCATGTATACTTTATTTACAGGTGCTGGCCATAGCCCATCGTTTGGAAACAGTTTTAATGGTGGATCGGGTATTCCTTCTACAAGATGGGAAGCTGGAGGAGTTAACTAAGTCACCTTTTTTGGCTGGTCACTGTGACTCATTGATGTCCACTAGTCTTGTGATTTGAGATCATTCAAAAACTTGGGGGCAGGAGGAGTTGAAATGAGCCACTAAATAATAGTTGCTGGTTTTTCTGTGGCGGTTGTGTGATCCAACTTGCAGAAAATTAGGTTATCTTGATTGAGTTTCAATATATGTGATGATAATGCTTCAATCTTCAAGGCATTGTCAAGCAGTTGGTATGAGATGTGCATGGAACTAGAGTCATCATTTGTACTAGCTCCCATGTGTAACAGCATATGTAAATGATGGTGTTATACTCAATTTATTTGTACATTTAAGTTAATTGTTCTTTTTCAATAAAATTTTTGATGTTCAGTTCAAAGAATCCCAAGTTTCACAAATGTGAAACGATGTCACTTTTTTAATTTCATAATATTATTACGAGTATTTCATGTAATATTAAATATTATCTAATAATCTTAAATGTTATTATTTCATTTAATACTAAATACTGTAGTTATACGACATCTTACTTAATATTATTTCATATTAAATTTACTGCATATTTACAATATTTTCACATTATATTATTTAACATAAAAAGTTAATAATATTAAATTGTTTCATTTAACAGAAAATAATTTAGTAATAATTATAAATATTTTAATCTAAAAATTTTTAATAAAATAAAATTATTAGTTTATTATGATACATTAATTAATAATATCAATAGTTTATTTAATAGTAAATATTCAAATAATTAAAAACTTAAATTATCTAATATTAAATTATATAAATTACATAATTTTAATAAATATTGATAAATTAATAATAATGATTAAATTATAAATTTGTTATTGAAATCTTTAATCACTAACAATTATTATATTATGAATAAATTATATAATATTAAAAAACAATACCCAATTACACAATTTCAATAACTTATATTCGTTATTTTACGTATTTTTCAAACTTTATATATTTTACTATGGCAACTTGTTAATAAAATATTTTTAATTTTGTTAATATTTTGTAATGAATTCAATATTATTTTAAATTAATTAATTTATATTTTTATTATAAAGATATACATATTGTTTCCGAAAATACCGAAAGATGGCAAGGGTGAAGAGGACGGGTGGTTTCTATCATTTTAAATTTCTATTTTACCCCCGATGGATTACTACAAAACGG